CTCCCACCCCTCCCCAGAACACAGCACATACAGTCCCTGCAGAACTCCTGGTCGGGTCTGCAGAACAAGAGCTCCAGGCCTGCTGCACAGGGATGCTCTGGCTGCGGAGGGGCCTCTGTGGGGAAGGCTGCAACAGGTCCGGGGAGGCTAGTTAGAGCTGCCTGCCTGGCTCCTCCGCCTCCTGCACTTCACAGCGCAGCCCTGGGTGGGGGGGGCCCGCCAGCCCCTGCGCACACTCCACTGTGCAGCCCTGGGTGTGCGCCGTCACTTTCCAGGGATGTTTCAATTTTAGAAAGTCCAGAAAGTCCAACACATTGGCACCTAAACCACTGCCAGCACTTACTGAGAGTGTTCACTACACCCCAGGTACTGCTGAGCTCTAGGTAAACTGTTTCCTTTACTCCTCATGACAACCCTGAGAGGTAGATGCCATCGTTGTCCCATTGCACAGACAAGGGAATCGAGGTTCAGATGGGCTAAGTACTTGCACAGCAAACAGCTGAGTGGTAAAGTTGGGACTATGTTGGGACTATTTTTGGGACTCCAAAAATCTGCACTTTTAACCCACTGAACTACATGCATTCTAGAATTCCCCTTACATCTGAAAGCAGCTGGAAAAAAGTCATGCCCAACCACATGCCCAGGACTGTGACTTGGAAACCACAGTCTCCCCAGCAGCCTGCCCAGCACCCTCCAGACTGGTTTTCCAAGTCGCCTTCCTGAAGGCCTCCTGCTGCCCAGAGAGCTGCCCCGAGACCTGGGTGTCGCTGTCCTCCGCCGTGCTCTCGCTGGGGTAGAGGTCCTGCACCAGAAGGATGAGGGCGAGGAGGTCGGCTGGGCGCAGGGAGCCGGCGCTGTGGCTGCGGAGAGAACAGGCAGCAGGTCAGCATGTGCCCGCTGTCCCCAGCCCACAGGTGGCAGTGGGAAGGGGCAAGTAAGTTAAGGGAGTCTGGAGCATGATCGCTGCCCTCAAGGAGTTTAGAAATGTGCCCGCTGACTTTATCCTTTCTGGAGAAAGACAAGGTATGTACAAAATTAGTTAACTCATCCATTTAAAAAATAAAACTTGGTTGTGTTGAAAAATAAAAATTACCAGTGGAAAACCACCAGGGACGAGTAACAGCGTATCAGGAAACCCTAAATTAAGATCCTGAGACAGTGTTCCAGGAAGAAATCATTCAGAGAAGGAAGTGAGCTGAGAGGCGGAGAAGAACTGAAGAACCTAAGAAGGCTTCCTGGAAGAGACGGGTCTGGAAGGCTTCCCTGGCCCAGGAGGTGGTGCTTTTCAGGTAGGAGGAATAAGAAAGGGTGAAGGTGAGGGGACCCAGGCCCTCCGGGCCACCCCATGCTGGGGCCCTTGGGCTCACCTGGAGTAGAAAGCCAGCAGCTTGGAGTGCACGAGCAGGAAGGCGTGTAGGGCCTCCTCGCCGGCCCGCCCAGGGCTGGAGTTGACGGCCTGGACGACGTGCCGCTCCAGCACCTCGATGCACAGCTCACATAGCTGAGGGTGGATCAGCCGCTCCACAGCCTGGGCATGCGGGCAGGGAGAGGAAGTCACATCACCCCACACCTCCCGCTCCAGCCCCAGGCTGGCATTACATTCACTCAGGCCACAGTGAGCACACACCACGTGCCAGATGCTTGGGAACAGGGAGGCTCGGACCAGCACAGAGCCTGCCCTTCTGGGGCTTAGTGTGGTCACTAGACTCTAGTGGATGAGACAGACAATATGCAGAGAAAGAGATAAAATAAGTGCTAACAACTGCTGTGTAGGAAAAATACAGTATTGGACTAGAGAAGAGCAGAGACCTAAGTGTGTAGGGTGTTCAAAGAAAATGTCCCTGAGGAGGTGACCTTTAAACTGCTATCTAGAGAACAAGAAACCCCGAGTTTGGAGCAGTGCTGCCTAACTGATTACAAAGGCAACCCCTACACGTAATTTAAAATTTTCTAGTAACTACATTAAAAAGTAAAAATAAATAAGTGAAATTAATTTTAATAATTGATTTAACCTAATACATCTAAAATATTATCATTTCAACATAAGGTATAAAAGCATTATTAATGGGATAGTTAATAATCCTATTTGACATTCTATTTTTTTTTTTTTTTTGCATTTGACATTCCTTTTTTGTCCTAAGCCGTCAATATCCAGTGCATATTTTACAGGTATAGCATAACCCAATTTGGACTAACTATACTTCAGATATTCAACAGAGACACGTAGCTAACGACTACCACACTGGCCAGAGTTGAACACAGAGTGCCCCTGAAATGGGAAGAAGTCCCGGGTGGCCAGTGCATGGTGAGTAAGGACAAGAGAGGCATGAGATGAGGCTGGGGCAAGACAGGCAGTGGTGGATCATACAGGGCCTGATAGGCTCGGTAAGGACTGTGGATTTTATCTTAACTGCATTAGGTCACCTCCTACAAGAAGCCTTTTGCTGATGCCTCAGAAGGAGTTGACCACGCCAACCTCTGTGCCACCATGGATTTTGAGAAACCCAACCTGGCAGCACCCAGTGTACTTTATTGTTTTTAGTACATATGAATGGCTGATTTCCCCTCAAGGGCACAGACTTTATTCATCTCTGTATTCCCAGGGCCTGGCACACCTCTTAGTGTATGGGAGGTACTATATGCTTACTGGAAGAGTGACTGAGTGGGGTGTGAAAATGCATTCCTTCAGATCTATTTTCCTGTTCACTAATTCTCTTTCTAGCTATGTCTCATCTATTATTTAACCCATCCCTTAAGGTTTTCATTTTAACAATTATGTTTTCACTTCTAAAACATCTATATGGGGTTTCTCCCTAGCTTTTATGTCTTCAAATATTTCCTGGTTATTTTATGTCCTGTACCTAAAAATTCTAGTATATCAAGCTCCTTGGGATCTACATCTGCTGGTGATTGATTTCCCTGACTCCTACTCATGGTGGCTTATTCTCTAGTGCATCTGACTGTTAAATCGTGAGCTCATATTTGTTTGCTCTTAATCTGTCCTCAAAATCAACGGCTTTCAACATGTAGTTCCCAGACCAGCATAACCAGCATCACCTGGGAGCTAGTTAGAAATGCACATTGTAGAGCCTCCCACCCTTGACCCCCACAGTGAATGAGAAAAGTGAGGCCCAGAAACCTATATCTAACAAGTCCTCCAGACGATTCTGATGCACACGGAGCGGGAGAATCACTGATTTAGAAAGAATCTGTGTTTGTCTATACAAGGAGCAAGGGGGTGCTGCCTCAGGTCTGGGCTTAAGGAGGAGTTGCAGGCTCAGCTCTCCTGTCACTGTTGGCCTAAGGCTTAGTTTTCTGGTTGTAGTGTTGGTACCGTCATCTGTACTCAGGCAATCTTGCCTTTAGTGCTGCTTATTTTTCACTACTTTCCACTCTAGTTTCAGCTCAGTATAATTTGGGGGGTGATCAGAGTGGAGGGGGCTATCTTCAGAGATTTCCATAATTTACTGAGAGCCCAAAAACTGCATTAAAAAGTCCATTTTATCCAAAATCTAGCTGTGTTAAGATAGGGAGGCCCACCAGAGTGCCCAGCCCAGCATGTGGCCAGAAAGAGCAACCCTCAGAAATGCATGGGCTTGAGGGGCTGCCTGTGCCCTCACTCATGGAGGGGAGGGTGGTGGCAAAACATGGTCTTAACGCTGCCCGGCCCCTCTGACCTGACATCTCTGTGGCCCGAGGACTCCCGCACCCAGCAGTCACCTCCACAGCGAAACACTGCTCCTGCTGCCGCAGGCGGCCGTAGGTCCACAGCAGGCTCTGGAAGTGCTCCCACACCTGCACACGCTGCCCCAGGTCTGGGGGCCGCAGCCTGGGGGCAGAGCAGGGGAGACCCATAAAAAAGCCGGTTGTCCCCAGCTTCAGCCAAAGGAGGAGCCTGACATCACTGCCAGCGCCAGGCAAGCTCACGTGACATGACCAAACCCCTGCGGGGGCCCACACAGCACAGAGGGGGCGTATCGGGCTCTGCCCTCTCTGTAGAGCCAAGTAGGATGGGCAGGGAACCAAGAGGTGGGCGCCTGAGCAGATTGCCTCACTTCTCAACCACACACACACACACACACACACACACACGACAACAGCCAGCTAGAGAGACCCAGGAAGAGGCCAGGGGCAGAGTGGGACAGGCAGCTTCACTGAGGCTGGGCACACACTGCCTGGCCTTGAGAGGGGCTCAGCACAGCACCCAGGGGACTCACTCCTTTCGGATGAGCTGGCCGTCCATGGTAACCAGCCCGAAGTGCACCTCGAAAAGGTACTTGAGCACGCACAGCTTCTGCCGCAGGTCCCCCTCGCCCTCGGTGTGGTCTCCATTGATGGCAATGAACAGGCACTCTCCGAACTGCAGGCACAGTGGTCAGCGGGTGTCAGCCAGCCCCAGGGGACCCTCTCACCTCCCCTGATCGCTGGGGACAGTGAGGGGGGCTCAGATCCCAGGGGATTTTGTTAAGATGCAGCTTCTGCCTTCTAAAAGAGTCCGAGGTTCAAAATGAGGAAGAGGCATGTGGACTGCCCAAGGAGCCGAGGGAAGAGGAACATGGGCCCCAGGGCCGCACGCTCACCAGGTGAAGGACGTACAGGTAGTTGCCATTTTCTGTCGAGAAGCAGGTGTATGTGTCTGAGAGCTTCTCCAGCAACGTCATAGAGGAGATAATGACTGGGGCCAGGAGGGTGCTGAGCTGGTCCTCCAGGGCGGGAAGCTGCAAGAGGGGATAGAGAATAATACTGCTTAGTGTGCCAGACCCTGGGCCAAAGGAATGGACAAGACCCAGGCCTTGCCATCAAGGGCTCCATAGTTTTAGACCCACCTGGGAGGCTATCACTGTCCTGACAGGGAGACACTTGGGTAGTAGTTAGGAAGGCTGGGAAGGGTCAGGCAGCTAATTGTGCTGCTCTGGCTGATTCTAGAAGGAAACGTTAAGGAATTAGGTCACATTTCCACAGAGGAATGTTTGGGGCATTTAATAGAGAGCTGGCCAACTCTAAGAAAGTTCAGTATGTGTTCCAAAGTCCATGCCCTTTCTTGCAGTTAAGTTTCCTTTGGGGAATGTATCCTAAGGAAAATAATCAGAGATGAGGCAGAGATACATGTGCAAAAATGTTCCCTACAGCGTAATTTATAGTAGAAGCAACTGGAAAGAATGTAAATGTCCAGTACCAGGGAAAGAGTTAAATAAACAACAGTACATCTGAATGATGGGAGAATATATAGCACTTAAAATATCAGAGTGTTTCAGTGACATGGAAAATTCCTATGATACAATGTAATGTTTAAAAAAATGGTTGTGAATGCTCTGTATTTTCAAATGATAAAAAAAACAAAGTATTGAAAAACCAATGAGAAATCCACACTATTAAAGTTATTGCTTCTGAAGAGAAGGATCAGGAATGATCTCTCCCCCCAGTTTTTACATCTTTCTGTACTTTCCCTATTTCAGTAACAAGTATGCTTTTACTTTTATAATCTCTTCACTCATCCATTCTCTCTGACCTCCAAATAAGAAACAGAACAAACAGACAAAACCAAAAAGAAACTGGACAAATTTGCTGAAGGTCTGGGAATAAAAATGGGATAAAGCCAGGGGAATGGTAATAACTCAAGTTCTCAACACTGGAATGAAAAGATAGGAGGAGACAGCTGACCTTCTCCATGCTGATCTCAGGAGACTTGACTGAAACAGGGAGAAAGCGGAGTCCTAATTTTAACTTGTACACAAGGAGCGGAGTAAGACCTTGCCTTCAGAAGAACAGGCAAGCAGCCAGGGGTACTGTGCGGCACTTAAAATACAAGGGGGTCCACGTCACGAGGGGTGTCGTTTCCTCCCACAGACTCAACATTTAGGAGCCCAGCACCATGTCCACTGCTGCGGAGGCTGTCAGTCACCTGCGACAGGTCCCCGCTCAGGCAGCTCCTCTCCTGACCACCCCCAGGCCACACCACCCCAGCCTGCCCACCCCACACCCGTGAAATAAACCCATGGTGTTTATTTGCCACCTAGCTCATCTTCTTTAGACTCTGAATTCCACAAGTGCAGGGTCACGTTGCTATGTTCACTGTAAACAGTCCATTCTCGATTAGTATTCATTGAATGAATACCCCTTCACATAGGCAAACGTTGGTTGAATTATTCATGTACGACAATATTCTTGAACCATCACGAACCAAATATATTAATAGAAATGTCACTTAAAAACCTAGATGGTGTATAGCAAGTCACTTTAAAAGTAGTAGCTTTGGGGGCGGGCACTGGGGCCCGGTCGGACATGGGCAAGAAGCACAAAAGTCGGACAAACACCTCTACGAGGAGTATGTAGAGAAGTCCTTGAAGCTGGTCCTCAGAGGGGGAGGGAACGAAGTCACTGAGCTCTCCACGGGCAGCTCCAGCACGACTCCAGCCTCTTAGAAGACAAAAACGATCATGACAAACACAAGGACCGAAAGCGGAAAAAGAGAAAGAAAGGAGAGAAGCAGGTTCCAGGGGAGGAAAAGTGGAGAAAATGGAGACAAATAAAGAAATTCAAGTAATACAGAAGTGAACAAAATGGAAGGGAAAAAAGTTCTGCTCACTCAGGAAGATAAAAAGAAGCGAGATCGGGACCATGAGGCAGAAAAAGACCTCCAGTGTCAGGCCCCTGTAGGATCAGACTTGCCTCCTGAGAAGCCTCTTGCAAGCTCTTTAGCCAAACAAGAAGTAGAACAGACACCCCTTCAAGAAGCTTTGAATCAACTGATGAGACAACTGCAGAGGAAAGACCCAAGTGCTTTCTTTTCATTTCCTGTGACTGATTTTATTGCTCCCGGCTACTCCATGATCATTAAACACCCAATGGATTTTAGTACCATGAAAGAAAAGATCAAGAACAATGATTACCAGTCCATAGAAGAACTAAAGGATAACTTCAAACTAATGTGTACTAATGCTATGATTTACAACAAACCAGAGACCATTTATTATAAAGCTGCAAAGAAGCTATTGCACTCAGGGATGAAAATTCTTAGCCAGGAGAGAATTCAGAGCCTGAAGCAGAGCATAGACTTCATGGCAGACTTGCAAAAAAGTCAAAAGCAGAAAGATAGAACAGACACCTCGCAGAGTGGGGAGGACAGTGGCTGCTGGCCAAGAGAGAGGGAAGACTCTGGAGACACTGAGGCACAAGGCTTCAGGAGTCCCAATAAGGAAAATAAAAAGAAAGACAAAGATGTACTTGAAGATAAATTTAAAAGCAATAATGTAGAAAGAGAGCAGGAGCAGACTGACCGCATTGTTAAGGAATCTGGAGGAAAGCTGACCAGGCGGCTTGTTAATAGTCAGTGTGAATTTGAAAGGAGAAAACCAGATGGAACAACAACATTCGGACTTCTCCATCCTGCGGATCCTGTTGTAGGAGAACCAGGCTACTGCCCTGTGAGACTGGGAATGACGACTGGAAGACTTCAGTCTGGAGTGAATACTTTGCAGGGGTTCAAAGAAGATAAAAGGAACAAGGTAACTCCAGTGTTATACTTGAATTATGGACCCTACAGTTCGTATGCACCACATTATGACTCCACATTTGCAAATATCAGCAAGGATGATTCTGATTTAATCTATTCAGCCTACGGGGAAGACTCTGACCTCCTGAGTGATTTCAGCATCCATGAGTTTTTGGCCACATGCCAAGATTATCCATATGTTATGGCAGATAGTTTACTGGATGTTTTAACAAAAGGAGGACATTCTAGAACCCTGCAGGAGTTGGAGATGTCATCTCCTGAAGATGAAGGCCAAACTAGGATACTTGACACAGCAAAAGAAATGGAGATTACAGAAATCAAACCAACAGGGCATTCAGACTCCAATAATCAAGACAGGCTTACAGCACGGAAAGCAGTAGCAAACTTTGGAGCTCCAGCTGAAGTTTTTGACTTGGAAGAAGCTGAAGTGTTCCAGAGGAAACTTGATGAGACCACCAAACTGCTCAGAGAGCTCCAGGAAGCCCAGAATGAGCATTTGAGCACCAGACCCCCTCCCAACATGATCTGTCTCTTGGGTCCCTCATACAGAGAAATGTATCTTGCTGAACAAGTGACGAATAACCTTAAAGAACTTGCACAGCAAGTAACTCCGGGTGATATTGTAAGCATGTATGGAGTCCGAAAAGCAATGGGGATTTCCATCCCCTCCCCGGTGGTTGAAAACACCTTTGTAGATTTAACAGAAGATTTTGAAAAACCTAAAAAGACTGATGTTACTGAGTGTGGACCTCATGGGATTTGAAGCTAACTGGTATTTGATTATATATTATGTATATTTTTTTTTCATTCTTAACTTGGAAATGCTTTTTCAGAAGATATTAAATATTTGTAAATTGTTTTTAATTAAACTTTGGAACAATTAATTTTAATGTTCCAGAGATTGGACTTCTATTAGGTAATAAAGCTGAACCTGGGACGGTGAAAAAAAATAAAAATAAATAAAAATAAAAATAAAAGTAGTAGCTTTTTCTGTAGGGATATAGGTGTAGCAAGAATTCTTTTGGTTGGGGGGAAATTATAATCTTTGTGTAGCTAGAGTGTGAAGACAATTCTCCTATATTATTTGGTGCGATTATAAAGTGGTACAGTATCTTTGAATGGCTTTTGAATCAATGATTCTACTTTTAGGAATTTATCCTAAGGAAATAATGAGATGTGGGATAAAATTCAAGCACAAATGTTCCCTACAGCAATAGCTATAGCAAACTAAAAGCAATATACATGTCCAGTACTGGGGAAATGGTTAAATAAATGCTGCTAAATTTATTCATATACTGAATATAATGTTTCCATTAAGATTTATGCTTTAGAGAATATTTAACAAAATGGAATAATGCTTTTCCTATAATGGCAAGTGAAAAAAAAAAAACCAGGAAATAAAACTGTAAGTGTGGTATGATCCCAACTATTTATAAACGATAAAGACCCAAAGAAAATATATTGAAGAGCTAATAGCTCAGGGTAGTAGAATTATGGGTCATTTAAAAACTATTTCTCTGTTATTTCCCAAATTTTCTACAATTAGTTCACATTATCCATAGGATCAGGAAAAAAAAGTGTTGGATACTTGAAAAATAAAACTTTGAAGACTTTTTTCTTTACCTTAGTCATTTAGGAACTGAAAAGCCAGGAGTTTCTTCCTTTATGAGGTTTTAAATAAAGAGGAAGAGAAACACTATCAAATAGTTTGCCTCTTAAATTGACCAAGTTGATACAGTGGTTTAAGAACTAAAATACTTTAAAATTCTTAAATTAAAAAATTATACATATTGACTGCTAAAAAATAAAAGAGCCTAACAGATAGAGCTGTGTTTCAGCTTAAATAAGATAAGACCGCTTAAATGTCTATGATCTCTGATATGTCATATCATTCCTAAACAGTATCAGCGATGTCGAGGTGAACTAACTTGCTGATGTGGAGTTGGTCTGGCTGATGACCAGGCTCACTGGAGCAGAAAGTGCACTGAGAGGCAACCAGTCTGTGTGGCTGCAGAAATGCAAGGACTGTCTACTGCATCCCCAATACAAAAGTTTTTAATCCAAAATTAATCTGGAAAAAATTTCAAAATAAATTACTCCTTTAGAATGTAGAGCAGAAATTATCTAAGTGAAAATGACAACTGTCTCTGAGTTGTGATATTAAAGCGTTAAAATGGATATCCATATGCAAAAAAATAAACTTTATACTTTACACCACATACCAAAATTCAAAATGGATCATTAGACTGAATATAAAACCTAAAACTATAAAATTTCCAGAAGAATATGTGGGGAAAACTCTTTGTGATCTTGGGTTGAGCAAAGATTTCTTAGATATGACACCAAAAATGTGATCCATAAAAGCAAAAAATGTAAAACATGGAGTTATCAAAATTAAAAACTTCTGCTTTTTTTTTTTTTTTTTTTTTTCTTGCGTTATGTGGGCCTCTCACTGTTGTGGCCTCTCCCATTTGCGGAGCACAGGCTCCGGACGCGCAGGCTCAGCGGCCATGGCTCACGGGCCCAGCCGCTCCGCGGCATGTGGGATCTTCCCGAAACGGGGCACGAACCCGCATCTCCTGCATCGGCAGGCGGACTCTAAAGCACTGCGCCACCAGGGAAGCCCAAAACTTCTGCTTTTTGAAAGGTACTGTGAAGTAGATGCGAAGACAAGACACAGACTGAAAGAAAATATTTGCACAACATAGATCTATAAAAGGACATATCCATAATATCTAGGCAACTCTTAAAACTCAGTAGGAATAATAAGAAACAATCAACCCAATGAAAACTAGGCAAAAGATCTGAACAGACATTTCATTAAAGAAGACATAAAGATGGCAAATAAACACATGAGAAGATGCTCAAAATCATTAGTCATGAAGGAAATGAAAATTTCTTCATAGGGTGGGGGTGGGTCACTGGAGAGCATCAAGGGCTGACCTCTAAGGGTGCGCAGGTGTGAGGGGCGCCAGACCATACACAATGCCGTGTTCATCCCTCTGGCTGGGCCAGGACGGATGGACAGGCTCTCCTGCCTCCTGGTAGTTCTGGGTTGTTCCCTCCCATCCGTCCCTCCTACCCTGCACTCACCCCTTCTCCCTCATTCTCCGACTGCCCAAACTTCAGCCGCAGACTCTCTTCAAACTCCTCGTCCGTCCAGTAGAAGAGGATGTCCGCGCCCTCTGTGGCCACCAAGACGCACTTCATCTGCCAGGGAGAAGAAAGGTCAAGGTCACCTCCCAGCCCCACATCCATAGGCTCGGCCTGAGTAATGAACAGGATCATAATCCCGCAAACACCTACTGGCCTTTACTGTGTGCCAGGCACCACGAGGGCCTTCCTGGTGTTACTCTGCGGCACCCTCACAGCAACTGGACTAAGCAGAAATCTTCAGTTACTCCTATTTTTAAGTGACAGAAGTGGGATCCAAACCCAGGCCTGTCTAATACCAACGCTGGGGCTCTTTCCTGCGTTATCTGGCCTCTCTAAAACACAGCATCAGACCCACCACCAGCCTACTGGGACCAAAGGCAAGGAAGGGCCCAGCTCTTGATTTGAACATGGGGTCAACTATACAAGGGGGACAGGCAGTCAGGGCCTGGTCTGGAATGGAGGGCGGCTGGTGCGCCTCCCTCCAGGAAGTCCAGAAAAAATGTGCTTCTCCTCAAGTCACAGATAGCTCCAGAGGACGAGCTTCGAAGCCCACAGGCAGGGGGTTCAGTATTACAGGAGTTTGATTCACAAGTTCCTCCTGCTCTGGTGGACACAAAGGCTATATGACCTTGGCCACGGCACATTCTCACTCCGGCTTAGCTGCTGCTTCCTCAGCCACCTCCACCAGTATCTCCTGCCTTTCCGGACCTCCTTCCCCAGCACCCACACATGTACCCTCTGTGCCACACATTATAATGCTTGACTATATACAATGTGTTTTCATATTCACCAACTGGTAGATTCTTAATCCAGAGCTTCCCATGCTGGGCCTTGGCCCTGTGAGGTGCAGCAAGACATTGATCTTCTCAGCACTTAGGGAAGCCTGACCATGCCTGGTGAAGCCAGAGCTGTCAGGCCAGCTGCTTGCTCCAGTCAGGGGCTTCAAACCTTCTCCTATACCTCAGCATGTCACACAGATATGAACACATCACCCACGTGCTAGGACGTGATAATGATGAGGAAGCTCTGCTCTAACTCTTCCATGGTGGATGTCCAGTTTCCTCAACAGGATCATAGCATCTCGAGGTCTCAGACTCAGTAACATTCTTCAGGATCCCCTACGTGACCAGCTTAGTGGTACTTACCGAATTCCTCCCAAATCTCTAGTTGGTTTATCGACTTTAACTCGGAGAACCTAGCTTGATGGTGTTTCCAGCACAGTGAAAAACAAAGAATGTATCCTATTCCCATGGAATTGCTAAACACTAGGCAGAGACTGGGAGAGCAATGGAGTGTGAAGGAAAGGTTGCTGGACGAAGGCAGGTGGGCTTGACAGGAAGGGAGTGCATGGGCTAGAGAACAGTGGGCTGTAGAATGGAGGCTGTGAAGAGCAGGGAGCCCCCGTAGGCTGGTAAGGGTGTGGATCATGGATGGGTGGGGTCAAGGTTACGGAGGCTATTGTCCTGGTGCGGGGTAATGTGGGTCCACTCCTTGGTGGAGGCCAGGGGAGGAAGGGGCTGATTCAAGAGGTGTAGCTTAGAGACTTGGTAGGCCATGATGACCTCCTGGATGCAAGGGAGGAAGGACAGAACAGGCAAAGTTGACATCAGGATGCAGAGCTGGGATAGGGGATGGAGATGACTCTGCACAGCCAGCGAGAGCTCAGTCTACTGCCTACCTCACCCTATCCACCTCCCAGAGCCCGAGTAGCCCCAGGGTGGGTGCTGCCTGCCTCCATCTCAGGCAGGATCATCTACCTTGGCAAGGAGCACAGCGGAGCTTCCGGGCAGCCAAAGATTCAGAAAGGGCTGCGGCAGACAGACTCAGTGACCAGTTCATGGAGAGCAGCATAGCATCCCAGGTCCTGCTTAAAACAGGGAGGTCATGAGGGCAAGCAGAGGCTCTCGTTCCAGCTGCTGCCTGTTCCCAGGAGTGGACAAGCTGGTGAAGGACGGAGTGGTCAAAGGTCTCTCTCTCGCTCTAAGGCCTTCTGCTCAGAACATACTCCCCTCAGCCAGGAGGTGTCCAAGTGCCCCACATTCTGCCCACCCCTGCCCTCCCACAATGGAGAACACGAACCTGGCAAGCACAGTCCTTTGGCCATAGCATGTGTCCACAAACATTAATTCTCACCTACTGTTTCCTTCTGAGCATTCTCACTTCCCCATGGGTCACTCTGAGCCATGGTGTGGTCAGCAAACCCACCCTGAGCAGCCCCGGGAAGCCTGCTATGAGTGACTATTGGGAAACAGCATAGCACATCCCAGGGAGACAGAAAAGCAGTCCTGGGGAAGAGAGGAGGTATCCTAGGGTAATGCAATGAATGGCAGTAAAGCAATACAACAGGCAGGGGACACCCAGTTCTAGTTTTGTCTTTGCCAAGACACTTAAACCTCTCTGAGCCTCAACCTCTGGCTCCACCTCCCTCCAGGGTTCTAGTGAGAGCCTGGGAGTAACCAGGCAGACACACCCCTAGCAAACTTTCTTACACAGAGGTGGGGGGGGGGGCTCATTATTCTTACTTCCCAGCTTCCCCTCCTCAAATAACAGGTGAACTAAACTGGTTTCAGAATCACTCATATTTTGATGATAAAGAGCAGGAACAATATAAAGCTTTAGCTTAATTAGGAAACCAAACATTGTAAACAAACAAGACACAAGAAAGGGCTGTTAACGGGCTCAGCATCTTGTGCAACATGAGACTCACTACATCACCGGCATGATTGACCTTAACGCCATATTCCCAGAAGAATGGAAATGCTCTTTAGTGGACGTTAGGTTCTACTTTTATTCCACAAGCTTGCTGGAAAGAGAACCTCACCGGTGTTATTTTCTGATTATTATTATCTGATTATGTTATTTTCTGATTATTTATGCTCTGAGGGAACACAGGACTCACTGGAGCCCCAGATGGCGCCGGGGCAACCTGGGGAAACGCCCCCACGCCCATATTCGCCATCCTCCCAGCAAACTGCCCCTATGGCCGCCGCCCCTGCCTGCCAGCAGCCCACACGCTCACAGCCTCGTCCTTGCCCCTGATGGGCTGGAGGACGTAGGAGCGAAGACCTGCAGGGCGCGCCCGCCGAATGGCAGCCTTCCAGTCTGCCCTGCACTTTACAGTTTATGCAGCAGTTTCACCCCCAAGTCCCCCGAACCTCACAGATACCCTAGGAAGAAGGCCCGGCTTGTGACTACTGCCCCACTTCGTAGCGGCAGTAACTTTGGCTCCGAGAGGTGAGGCGACGGGACCACGGCCCCACGCCGGTGGGTGAGGCTGGAGGTGGAGACGCCCCCACTTCCGGGAGGGAAGCGCCGGGGTCCCGGAGTAAGCCCCACCGACTACCGAGGCCCTCGGACAGTGCGGGAGGCCTACGTACCGCGCAGTACCCAGACACCGGCCAGCCTGCCAGGAGCCCGCGGGCGCGCTTCCGGGTGTGGCCACGTGACCGCCCACGTGACCTCCGGGGAGGGACTGGAAGCCCGCCCCGCCTCTACTTGGCTTACGCCTCTGCCCGTTGTACGGTTTGCTTCCGCTCGGAGGCCGGGCTCAGCGAACGCTGACTCCTGCGCTTTGACTCCTGCCGGGCGGTGGCCGCATTCCTCCCGTCAACAAGGGGGGCACCGAGGCCCACAGTGTGGGGGACTTTGCAGGTAGCCGTCAGAGGCACCTGCTGCTTCCGGCCCTGCAACCTGCCTTAGCTCAAGCCACTCCCCACTGAGGTACTAGGAAAGTCTCCTTTTACAGAAGAGGAAACTGACGCCCAGAGAGAAGAAATAACTTGCTGAGGGGCCAAGTTAGGATCAGAACGCAGGTTTCCCGGTGCCCCGCTGGGCTCTTCCCCACCCTCTGACTTTTCTTGCTGAGCTGCAGTTCTGGGTGGGAGCTGCCCTTCTGTCACCGGTTTCCCTGAGCTCCTTGAGAGGAGACGCAACCTGCAGAAGGACGCAGTTACCCCCAGAGTACCAACGCTGGACTTTCTTTATAAGGGTTCTCAATCCATTTGGGGGATGGTGGTGCACATCAGGGTCTTTGTTTTGAACCTGTGTTTGCTAGTCTCTTAAATTGTATGTGTAGTGGCTGAAGGTAGGGGGAGCTGATGAAGATAATGGAAGGGATGAAATTCCCACCCAAGCCACCCCTTAGTGCCCTGGTGCCACCTGCGAGCTTTGAGCGCAGCCCAGCAGGGGATGAGTTTCGAGGACTGGCTGGGGTACAGCAGTTTGAGCGCCACCTGGGGCAAGGCAGGGGCCAATAATTAATGCTTCCACCACCCGCAGACAAAGCGAGTTATCACTCTCGACCCCCGCTTCACCGCCCACCCCAAGCCCCAGACCTTCCATCTCCCCATCTACAGCACACAGCCCCTCTGCAGGCATCTCTGCAGCCCACAGTTGAGATCATTCTGGCTGCTCACTCTTTACCCTGCTATTTTCACTCACCATGTTTCTCTGTGTCAAACATTTCCTGAGCATGAATTTCAGTGGTTGAATAAATTCCATCAAATAGATATGCTGCTGTTTACGTACTCACTTCTGTTACTAGTAGTTTTCATTCCTGCCAGCAACATCAACGTCCTAGTTTCCCCACATCTTCACCAACACTTATTGTCTATTATAATTTAGCCATCCTAGTGGGTGTGAAGTGATAGCTCATTGTGATTTTGATTTGATACTGAGACTAATGATGTTCAACATCTTTTCATGTGATTTTTGACCATTTTCTTGGGGAAATGTTCATGCAGATTCTTTGCCTGTTTTAAAATTAATTGTCTTTTTATTATCGAGTCGTGTTTGTTATATATTATGCATACAAGTCCCATTTTAGATATAAGATTTGCAAAAATGTCCTCCCGTTATGTGGTTTGTCTTTTCACTCTCTTAATGGTATCACTTGTAGCACAAAAGTTTTCAGTTTTGATGTAATTCAGTTTATCTATTTGTAATTATGTCCAGGTTTTGGTGTCAACATAAATTTTTATTTCACTTGGGTAAACACCTAGGACTGGGGTGGCTGGGCTGTATGGTAAGTGTATGTTTAGGTTTATATTATACTGCTGAACTGTTTTCTAAAGTGCATGAACGATTTTACATTCCCTCTAGCAATACTAAGAGTTTTAGCTGCTCTGTAGCCTCCTTAGCACCTGATATTATCCTTTTCTAACTTTAGCCATTCAAGTAGGTATATATGGTGGCATCTCACTGTGGTTTTAATTTCCGTTTTCCTGGAAAATGGAAAATGGACTAATGATGTTGAACTTCTTTTCATGTGCTTATATGCCATCTGTATCTCTTCTCTGGTAAAGCATTCAAATCATTTGCCCATTTTTAAATTGGATCGTTTTTCTTCTTATTATCTATATGGTTTCTTTATGTATTTAGATACAAATTCTTTATCAGATATCTGTTTTGCATTATTATTATTTTATTATTTTTGCCAATCTGTGGCTTTGTCTTTTCATTCTCTTTATGCTGACTTTTGAAGAACAGAAATCTTTGTGCTTCTTTGTGTACTGTCTATTGATAAAAAGTCTTCACCTAAGCCAGGGTCACAAAGATTTTATCTTGTGTTTTCTTCCAGAAGTTTTATAGTTTTAGGATTTGCGTTTAGGTTGATTTGAGTTGATTTTTGTAGGTGGTGTGAGAGAAGGGGTCAGATTTTTTTTTTTTTTTTTTTGCATATAGATGTGCAGTTTTTCTAACATCATTTGCTGAAAAAATATCTTTTCATCACTGAATTACTTTGACACATTTGTCTCAAATCAATTGACTATATATGTGTGGATATATTTCTGGACTCTATTCTGTTCAATAATTTTAGAGGGATTCAGGTCACACCAAGGATTTTACTGATTTTCTCAAAGAAACAGCTGTTGGTTTCATCAATTTTCATTGGTTGCCTGGTTTTTATTTCACCAATTTCTGCACTGATATTTACTCTTTCTTCTGTTTACTTTGGTTTTAATTTGCTCTTTTTTAAATAGTTTCTTAAGGCGGAAACTGACCCATTGATTTGAGACTTCTTGTCTTTCCTAACAAAGGAGTTTACTGCTATAAATTTCCCCCAAGGTACTGCTTCTCAGCACCCACAACTTTTGATGTGTTGTCTTTTCATTTTTAATTAGTTCAAAATGCTTTCTAACTTTTGTTTTGATTTTTTTGACCCATGAGTTATTTAGAAGTGTGTTATTAATTTCCAGACATTTGGAGGATTTCCATGTATCTTTCTGTTATTGGTTTCTATTTCAATTCCATTTCGTCAGAAATATGCTTTGTGTGATTTGAATACTTTTACATTTATTGATGGTCTAGGATATGTTCTATCTTGGTGAATGTTCCATATGTACTTGAAAAGAATATGGATTCTTCTTTTGTTGAGTTGAGGGATCTATAAATGTCAATTAGGTTAAGTTGGTTGATAGCAGCATTCAAGTTTTCTATATCCTTAATGGTTTTCTGTGAAGTTATTATATCAAATATTGAGAGAGTGGTATTGAACTCTCTAATCATAATTGTGGATTTGTCTGTTTCTCCTTGTAGTTATGACATCTTTTACTTCATATTATTTTGAAGCTCATTTTATTTTGATGCATAAACATTTATGATTGTTATGTTCTCTCAGTGTATTAACCCCATAGCATTATGAAATTATCTTTGAATCTTTGGCAATATTTATTGCACTAAATCTACCTTGTCAGAGAATAGTATAGCTACTACAGCTTTCTTCTGATTAGTGTTAATATGGCACGTGAAGGAGTTCAGGACATGCCACCCCAAAACATGCCACTTTGGTATATTGATTATTTTGAGCTAAAGGCACTTGAAAAAACAGCAGGTGCATGCAAGAAGGGTACTCTGACCTTCCCTTTTC